CAAGTCCCGGTCTAATGCATGGATAAATAAGGACATGTTTTTGTATTGCTTCCACCATATCTTTGTTCCTGTTGTGCAAGACCCCACTTGAAAGGACTTGGCGTGCCAGAAGAAACAAAGGTTCTTCTGGGCTGAAACAGAGTTTTTCTGGCAATATTTTCAGTCTTGCTGCCTGCAAATGTCACCTCGCTTCTTCAGCCAATGGATCAGGGAATTATCAAGATCTAAAAGTCATCTACAGAAGGGATTCTATGAGGAAGCTGCTCAACTTTGAAGGGACAATTCAAGACTTTCAGTCATGGTATAGCATCAGGGATGCAATCTTCAATGTGGTATGTTCCTGCTCTGCTGTCAACCCTACAACTTTAAAGAGAGCAATGGAGAAAATTGTGAAGGGGTCCTCTGATGAAGAATTACAAGGTTTGAACATAAGACCAAAAAGGAAAGTGCTACAGGAGATACTTGAAGTACTTCAAAAGGGTGACCTCACAAACCCAATTTGAAGGATAACGAGGTTGAAGAGTGGGTAAATGTCAATCAAGATGTTACAAAACCCCTGAGGGCATGTCTACACAGCAGTGTTATTCCGGAATAACGTAGTGCATGTCTACACAGCAAGCCTGTTATTTTGAAATAAATTCAAAATAACGGGCTTCTTTCTCTGACTCCTGTAAACCTCATTATATGAGGAGTAAGACAAGTCGGGGTAAGAGTGCTTGAGTTCGAAAAAACTGCTGTGTAGACAGCGCCAAAAGCCGACTTAAGCTACGCAATTAGTGTAGTTCAAGTTGCATAGCTTATTTTGAAGTGAACCCTGCTGTTTAGACATGCCCTGACAGACTCTGAAATTACAGAAATGGTTGTCCATCTGGTGAAGTACCTATACTGCAAATGACAGATTCAGAGGAAGAAGACCATACTGAAGAAACCAAAGTCTCTTGGGCTACTGCCGCACAGTGTCTGGATCTTTGGTGAGTTTGCTGAGCAGCAGTCTTCTTATTCTGCTCAAGAAGTCATGCAGCTGGACGTTATCCAGAACAATTTCCTGAAGAAAAGGCACCTGACTTGCAGGTAGGCAGACACTTGCAAGATACTTCAAAAAGCTTCTGCTGTTTGTGCCACCAGTCCCGCACCATCAGCATCAATAGCAGAAGTTGTTGATACTGATGAACCTGAGGTAGACGAGGAGCAGTAAATTACAGTATTGGATACAGTAATACTGTAGTGTTAAAAGTTGTAGGCTGCATCTAGACTGGCAAATTTTTCCACAAAAGCAGCTGCTTTTGCGGATAACATTGCCAGCTGTCTACACTGGCCACTTGAATTTCCGCAAGAACACAGACTTCCTACTGTCTGAAATCAGTGCTTCTTGTGGAAATGCTATGCTGCTCCCGTTCGGGCAAAAGCCCTCTTGCGCAAATGCTTTTGTGCAAGAGGGCCAGTGTAGACAACGCGGTATTGTTTGCGCAAAAAAGCCCCGATCGCGAAAATGTCAATCGGGGCTTTCTTGCGCAAAACCGCATCTAGATTGGCACGGACGCTTTTCCGCAAAAAGTGCTTTTGCAGAAAAGCATCCGTGCCAATCTAGACACTCTTTTCCACAAATGCTTTTAACGGAAAACTTTTCCATTAAAAGGATTTGCGGAAAATCATGCCAGTCTAGATGTAGCCGTAGTGTATATACTGGAGTAATAAAGTTAAGTATGGTTATTTCATTTCATTCATTTTTGCACTCAGTTAAAAAAAACTCAGTCTTGTTCCGTATGCAGTAATAGTGTTAAAAATTGTAAGGTATATAGTAATACACTAGTGTTAAAAGTTATAGTGTTTAATGTGGTCATTTTATTTCGTAAATATTTTTGCTTTAAAAAAAACCTCAATTAAACAGCACATTTACTTAACTGGCAACACCCATTCCCCATGCACGCTGGATAACAAAGCTTGTACCTTACTAAGATCCATGCTTAAACCATGCTGAGGCCTTGTGCAACTCCTCTGCACAGGGGAAGAGTCCATCCATTGTACAGCTCTGCACAATCCCCATGAGCAGTATTTTGAGATTATGAGAGCATAAAGTTTAGCTTTCAGTGGAACTTGACAGAGTAGCAGCTTAAACTATGTACTTGGAAAGATTCATATACTTCCTTCGCTTTCACTAATCGGTATCTCAAAGACAATCAAGATGACAAGTCCAGCTATATTTCTAAGGCGCTTACCACCTTAGAAAGAAATTTTCAAAGGCACAAATGAAATTCTACTGACTCCACAGGGGGTCTTACATTTGGAGGTTTAAACAGCATTTGTGAGAACTAGAAACTGTGTATCGTTCTAGCAAAATAAGTGTCAGTTTTAATGTTTTACAACACTAGGGGGCTGTGCCCCCTGCTCCCTACGCTCACCAACCCCCTCTCATGGGAAGTAGGCAACCCCAGCTCTCCTCCTGGCCACAGGGGAGGGCGGGGCTGCGGCTGTGCCAGCCGAGGACTCTTCTCCTTCCCTACCACGCACCCCCGGCTACGCCAGGCCAGGCCAGGCCCTTTCTCCCTTCCCTCCACCCCCATGGCCTATCCCTAATGCCCCATCCTGGGTGAGGCTGCACCCGACCCACCTAGCGGCTAAGGAAGGCCAGGCCACAGCGCACCAGGGCAGGCCATGGCTCCCCCCGCCCCCCCCCGCGGCTAGGGAAGGCCAGGCCACAGCGCACCAGGCCAGGCCATGCCCCTGGTGGCCACGGAAGACTGGGCCACAGCACCACAACCCAGCTCTCTATGTGGTGGGGCTTGGCTCCAGGAACAGGGCCTGAGGTAGAAGGGGTGGGGCTGAGGATGGAGTTTTACTCGCCCATGCCTACCCCTCAGCCTGTGGATGCTGTGAGCGGCTAGGGAAGGCCAGGCCACAGCGCACCAGGCCAGGCCATGCCCCTGGTGGCCACGGAAGACTGGGCCACAGCACCACAACCCAGCTCTCTATGTGGTGGGGCTTGGCTCCAGGAACAGGGCCTGAGGTAGAAGGGGTGGGGCTGAGGATGGAGTTTTACTCGCCCATGCCTACCCCTCAGCCTGTGGATGCTGTGACTTGATGATGTCACTTTATTGTCCCACAGGAAAAAAAAAATTCGATAGAGATAGAGATAGAGAGTCTTCTAGAGAAGTCTCTCCTGTAAATGCACATCAATGCTTAATGACCGTTACAATTGCAATAAGGTTTTAAAACAGCAAACAATAGCTTCAGCAAACAAACCAATGAGTTTGGGGAATGATCCTGTATCACTGAGGTGTGCCGGAATTTTGACATTGTCTTCAATAGCAGCTTGGCACCTCACAGAGTTACAACTTACTTGTAGTTCTGGATCATTCTCCCGTGGGGCTAAAACTATCCATATTTGCTTTCAGTCCAGAACTAATCTTTAGATGTCTGAGAGAAAAGGCTTCCAGCTGTTGAGTATTTGCAAGCCAAAAAACAAACAAATGCATCTTCCCCCCAGTCGCATAAGTTGGATTTTTCACTTAGTATTAATTCAAAAATGGCTTATTCAAGAGGACTCAAGTTTGGCTCATTTCACAGACCTAAGGATTGTTTTTGTTGGGGTTTCCTTTAGTTACCAGCAATTAAATAAACTCATTCCATGCTCAGCGGGCATCTCTTAAGTTGCTGAAGGAGGAACATTGACATTGCTAATAGAGGTGATCAAAATGTTTATAGTTGGTCAAAAAAGAATAGTTCTGGACACCCTGAAAACTGTTTGTGAATTGGACACAAACTTAGTTTTGACTGGACAAAAGCTTTTCAAGACTAGCTTCAGAAAAGAGAGCAAGAGGGTACTTTCTCCCTTCTAACGGTGAAAGCATTTGTTGTTATGTAAGAAAACCAGGGTTGAATTCCCACTCCGAAGAGGGGACATGTACTCAGCTCTTCTGGGAGCACCCTAGCCTTTGGGCTAAGGGGTATTCTGGCGTGCACTGCTTTCCATCACTCCTATTTCTATGAATACAGAAAAATTCACTGTGCTGGAGTGAGCTCCCATTTAGCTTGGCGTCTAAGGCACTTGGCTGGAAGACAGGATACAGGAAGGCAAATCTTCTCAACACAATCATCAGCACAGCTCTAATGATCGGAGAGTTCACTGAAACCCATATTCCTACTGCCTGGCCAACAAGGTCTTGATGCAGATATCTTACAGTGTGAGGCCAATACAGAACCATTTCTCGGTAAAAACCTTTTAAGGAAAAAAAAAGAAAAAAAAAGCTATCTTAACAAAATCAAGAGTCTGTAACAAAGCCTCTCTACTCCGTCCCCCCACCTTTAGTTCTGCCTCTTTAGCATCTTTAGCTACTTTAGTGAAACAGGACACTGTGGGTATGTCTAGACTACATGGCTCCATCGACGGAGCCATGTAGATGAGTTTACTAGACATAGGAAAATGAAGTGACAATTTAAATAATCACTGCTTCATTTACATCAAAATGGCCGCTGCGCTGTGCCGATCAGCTGTTTGGCGACACAGCCTGGATGCTCCGCGGTCGACAACGAAAGCCTTTGTCAACCGCTCCATTATGCCTCGTGGAATGAGGTTTACCAGAGCGGTTGACAAAGGCTTCTGTTGTTGATCGCGGAGTGTCCAGACTGCCCCGCTGTGCTGCCAAACAGCTGATTGGCACAGCGCAGCGGCCATTTTGATGTAAATGAAGCGGTGATTATTTAAATCGCTGCTTCATTTTCCTATGTCTAGTAAACTCATCTACATGGCTCCGTCGACGGAGCCATGTAGTCTAGACATACCCTGTATGTACTAACTCAAAATAAATACATCAGTGTCAATATTTGCCATGTGTCTTTGAGGGGAACTTTTCATGCTTTATCTTGCAAGACCCACACAGAACTGACCAAAACTACCCAGTTTTCTGATAAAGTTTTGAAGAGGATAGAATACTTCTAAATCAGCTTCCTTTAGATCAAAAGGAATCTTCACCCACACAGTTGACTACATGCCAAAAAAAGGATGAAGAGCTGACACTCTTTATTCACTTAGTATTTAGAGTCACATGCATGCCAAATGCACACAGGCTAAAGTAAAATTCATTTGCAAACTGCAGACTTGTTGGTACAAATGTTGTGTAACCTTCACACAGCAGAGACTGATAGCAGGGTACAGAACAGTCTTCTGTATCCAGCAGAGTTATTCAGCATGAAAGACAGCCAGGCGATCAGCCATTGGAAGATTTTTGCAGTGCCTCTGGCAGACAGATGCAAGAGGGCACATAGTAAATTGTTCTAGTGGCCTCCAGATGAAGGCCCCAATCCTGCATGGGGACCCACTGCATTCATGCAGGCTCTCTCAGAGGGCCACTGTGAATAGATCTCACTGCAGGATCAGGCCTAGAGAAGTAATAAATTATTCTTCTGTTTGAAGGTCTTTTAGTTTTCAAGTTAACCAGTCCAAGATGTGCCCACCATGCCAACGAGCCAGAGATCATTGACTATAGCCTGAAAAGAGCTAACCTAGCTCCTCCAGACATAGAAAAGCACAAGGCTCTTCCCCCACACATTGGAAAACACAAGGCCCTTGCCTTATTTTTCAATATAAGCTTTCCAGTTGTATAGTTTCTAGATACAAATCAATTGCCGATTATCTGATTTACCCCATTTCCATCATTTATGACACTTCAAAGTTTTTAGTCTGACATTTCCCCCAACTTGGTCTCAACCTGAAGGTGATTAATTGAAAGAGCCCCCAATGAAAATTAAATGTTTTTTTAAAAAAGTGAGGGATGCCATCAAAATGCCAGGCAAAGTCTTAATGCTGAATTAGTAAAAAAATGTAACTGCACAATTCAGGAAGTATCTTGCTTTAGACATATTTATTGAACTAGAATACGTACCTCCTATGTAAAAAGATGCTATAAAAACCACAATATTGCAAATGCTAAGTTTACAATTTGTTTGCAATGGTATCCAATATTTACAGTGTTTTGTTTTACAAAGCTGAAATTAAAAAAAGATACAAGAAACCCCCATCTACTGTCTAGTATCAGTGATCCTCACTGGTTTGTTCACCATTTATGAGGATAACATCATTCAATGCAACTTGTCACAGAGACTTATCTATAATCATTCGCCTTGTGTACTAAATCCATGACTTTTGAGCCCTCAGAGCCAAACTGTAACAGCTGGTGTATACTTCCGCAATAAATTGATCTAAACTACACAAATTCAGCCGTGGGAATAACGTAGCTGCAGATGACATATCTAGATTATTTACTGCTGTGTAGACACCGCGCTTTGCCAATTTCCCTTATGCTTCTCAGGGAGGTAGAGTACACAAATTGATAGAATGCTCTCCCATTAATTTAGTAGGTCTTCACCAGACCCACTAAATAAACATCGCCGCATTGACTGCAGCAGGGCCCATCTATCAGTAAGTGTAGACATGGCCTAAGTCACCCGCTGAAAGATTTAGCATTTATTAATAGGCAGGAACATTGTTAGACTTTTCAAGAGCCTCCAGGAACGGAAATGTCATTCAGACAAGCCCTATTCTTACAAGTCTCTGGCATGCTTTTGTACTCCCCTCTACAATAGTAGGTTATTGTAGTTCAGTTGACCTGGGATTTCAAAAAACCTGGATGAAGTTGTAGGTGCCCACCGAGACTTTTGTAAAATTAAGATTTGCCTGTGCTCGTGATGGTTCTTTGCTCTCCTACAGCATCTTTGGCCAAAGATCTCAAAGCACTTTGTGAACATTAATGAATTAAGTCTCACAGCAGCCCACTTTACAGATGAGTAAACCAATGCACAGACAGTTTCATGACCGAATCACATGCTTTGGCCATAGACCTTGCTTCTTCTCTAGCTAAAGCAAAACACATTTTGTTTCCTAGATAATCTTTACCCTCTTAAAAAAGGCCATTAACCACTTTCCTGTGTGTGACTGTCTGTCAGGGCTTCTAGTTGTCACATTAAAACCTGCAAGTCACGTATGTTTCTTTTTAAGTCTACACCTGTACTAAACAAAGCCCCAGAAGAGTCACTGTGACATGCAAGCTGCAGGAAGTTCAGTAGTGGGTCAGATCAGGCCTGCTAGTGTTGTTAGACACCAGTAAAGTTAGCCTCATCCACCTGAGGATGGGCCTCCTCTGCGACCTGGTCTCCAAGAACAGGTACCACCACCTTCTCCAGACAAAGGATTATAACCTGCAATGACAGAGGAGAAGCATATGAGGCACACTAGTTGCCAGACACACCAAGGACACAAAAGAACACCATTTCACAATCACTTGTAGCAGGAAGGACATGGAAGTTACAGAGGCAGCATTCTAAGGATAGTAAAAACATGGACAATAGAGAGTTAGAGGTAAAACCCAGCATAGAGGGATTTATGTTGTAACAGTCCATGTCATCAACAACTGAGAATTGGAGATTTTAAGAGTTTACATATCACAGTACAGTATTCGTATGTCAAAAGGTTAGCCCATGGGGCTTCCAAAACACACAAGCGAGATGTGTAGCTTGCAGTCATAACACTCTAAAATCAACATCACAGACCTAGCACTGCTCATTCATTATTACAGAGTATTAAGCTTTACTTTTTCACCACAAGAATAAACTCTGTAATCTCTTTAAAAGTAAGCTTAATAGAAGCAGAGAAGTAGCATTGCTACCGGTGTTAGAAATGTGCACTCCTCTAATTTCCATCAGATTGGCAATTTTGTTATGTTTATTTTTCCAATTTCATAAAATAAACCAGACAAACTGATTTTTAGTTGGATCGCCTACTAGTTGCCTTTTACACTGTACACTTGGGGAAGATATAGGCTTGCAAGTTTATCATTTAATTATTTTGTCCATGCACCATCAGCTGACAGATTCCTTCTCTCCGCTATACTAACTGAGCAGTTTTCAATATCAACCCATTCTGTTAAAACCACCATTACTTCCCCCATAGTTATGAAACTTGTCCATTAAAAGGAGGAACAAGATAACTAAAAGTTCAGTTTTCAGAACTGTATTCAGCAACTAAAACAGCCTGCAGGATTCTTCAATTAACCCTGGTTTATCTCATGAGAATTGAGCCATCTAATTTGATAGTCTGTATCTGAGGCATGCATTTTACCTGGGACAAACAGGTGGCCATAGAGGGAATAGACTGAAGGAGCCAACTGTTATTATGAAATGTTTTAGCGTAGCTGTGGCTTTGTTATTCTCTCATTTCCTGTCCAGAAAAGTTTTAATTCTAGGCATTCCATGGTAACAGACTACTAAAGTATGCTGATGATAAACAACATACAATGCGTTTGGCACGTTGGCTATCAACATTACACTCAAGTAAGATTTTCAACTCAATGGTAAAATGAACTATTGATTAAACATATTAAAAGCTGTGACAAGGTTCTTTGTCCAGCTACTGTAACCTATTCAACTATTATACTCTCAAGGTGTATTCCTTCCGCTTTGGTACATTCATTAGGAAAGCCATCTGTACAACCACTAACAGCAATACCAATTAGAATATTGACCCCAAATTTGGCTTTATATGGAAAGCAGATGCTGTATACATAGTCTCTTC